ACTGTCCTTGCTCTGCAGTGCCTCTGTGGAGGTGAGAGGAGGCGGAAGAGGGCTTGCCTCAGCCTGGGTCCTGCTGGACAATACCACCTTGAACCTTGGGGCAGGAAATTCTGTCTCAGCATAACCAGGGCTTTGTTTCTGCCACATCACGTCCCTCATCTGGAGGCACAGGGCCCCGAGGGATGAGCAGAGCTGGTACCCAGCCTATGGCTTCAGGGCCAGGCCTGGGAGAGAGAACTTGCTATTCCCTCCCCTAACCCCCAAAATAGGCAAAAGGGACCCTGGAATCTTACACAAAACCCCCACCATCCCAGGCTTCAGGATGGGCCTGAAGTTCAGGTCCAATCACAGATTCAGGGGAATTTCGGAACTGGAAATGGCCTTCAAGGTCAGCAAAGACCACCAAGCCCCAACCAGAGAGCACAAAAGACTTGTTCCATGTTAAACAGGACAGAAGCAGAGGAGCAGATGGACTTCCCTGGAGGTCCAGTGGTTAAGACTCCGTGCTTCCAATGCAGGGGGTGCAGGTTCAATCCCTGGTTGGGGAATTAAGATTTCACATGTTGCATGGAGCAGCCAAAAAAATTTAAAAAAAAAAAAAAAAGAAGACGCAGCAGCAGAGGAGCAGAGACTAGACCCAGGTCCAGCACCCTGACCGAAGTCCATACAGACTCTCCCAGTAGTCTCTGGGAGCTCCTTCTTCTCTGCACCACCCCCAACCCTCCACCTCCCTTCTCACCAGATCACCGCCCCTGCCCCCATTCCTGGAGGAGTCGGGGGTGGGATTACACACAGGCCCAGCCCTGGAGGTCGGGGATCTGCATGGACTGAGAAGCTGCCGGAAGTTGCCAACCAACCCATCAGATCCCTCAATCAACACCGCAGACCAAGCACCCACCATGTGTCCAGCATCTGGGGTGTGGCAGGGAGGAGAGGGATACTGACGTGGTCTCTGACCTTGGAACTTATCATGTGACCCTGGAGAGAAAACTAAGGCCGGAAAGACAGCACAGTGCAGCAGGAAACCTGGGATGCTCGGCCCGCAGGATGCAGCTGGCATTTCCTCCGTGCCCGTGAGGCACACCTGCTCCGAGGTTGCCAAGATCCAGAATCACCAGACCTGGTCTGCACCAAGCACAGACTCCCACCAACCCTCCAGGCAGTGGGTTCCTTCCTCTACCCAGGCCTCCTTCCTCTCTCCTTGGCCCAGCTCCATCCCAGGTATCATCATCACATACCTGAACTGGCCAGGAAATATTACTGGCCAATGCCACACCTCAACTTGCAGTGATTCCCAAATCTGACTGAACACGAGAATCCCCATACAGATTCCCGGGCCCTGCTCTGAACCACTTCATCAGCCTTGCCCAGGACAAGCCTGATGGTGGGGAGGTTTTACAAACTCCGAGGGGATTCTGGTGTCCAGCCAGGCTGGGGACCAAGAGGCAGCTGTGGGAGGGAAGGGAGGGGAAGGAGACTCCAGGGAGCCTGAGGGGAGAGGGGAGGTCGCTGCAAAGTCCCCAGCCACTGATGGCAGCCACAGTTACAGGCTTCAGGGCAGGATGAAGAAAGAAAGGAGCCAGATGAGCCAGGACAGAGCAGGCTGGAGTCGGGCCAGCAGGGGCCAGACACTAGGCAAGTCGTTCCTCCCCTCTGAGCCTCAGTTTCCTTCTCTGGGAAATGGGAATGGCAGCACCACTTCACAGGCACAGAGAGGTGAAATAAATAAAGCAGCTGTCACAGACTGGTGGCTGTCACTGCATTTATCTTCAGGTATTTATAAAGCACCTACTGTGTGCCACACACTGTGTGGACACTCAGATGCAAAGAATGAGACAGAGAGGCCCTCAGGGCAGAATGTCTGGAGGAGGTAGAGACGTCCCCAACACTGAGTGTTCAGGCCATAATGGGGGGTAGGGGGCCTGCAGGGAGGGGACAGGCTCTCTGGGAGTGAACAAATGGCCCCCAGGCAGGCTCCGGCCCCGTGCCTGGTCCCAGGATCGAGGTGAGTCTGTGAGTGCCCTACCCACCTTGGGCGGTCCTCCGCCACAGTGTTGGATCTCCCCCTTCCAAGGCAGGGCCTCTCGCAGCCTCTCACCATGGTCTGCACAACCAGGGGCCCTCAGGGGAGCCCGTGGCTGGGTTCAGCTGGGTGACAGTCTGCACTCTGCCTGGGGGCTGAACTGTCCTGGCTCTGGTCCCTCTGTTCCCCTCAGCCCCCCAAAGCCTGGGTGGCACAGGAGAACACACTACATAAGGGCTGAGGGAGGATGGGCAGGCATTGCCATTGTGCCCGGCTTACCACTCCTGGACTGGGGTACCTCAGGGTCCCTCCGAACCAGGGCCTGGGTCTCTTACTTCCCCCGGGCCCAGTGCAGACCCAGGCACAGAGCGGCGCAGTGCCGTGGACAGTGTTACTGCCACGTCATTTCTCCGCAGAAAGCACCGTCAGGTCACCCTTCCAGAGTGTGGGCGAGGCGGAGGAAGAGTCACAGGGGCTGACTACCCGTGGCCGGCCCGAGCCTGGGCATCAGGTGTGTGTGTCCACCGTACGAGTGTGGGTGAGACGGCACCCAGGGGAGCTACAGACCGGCTCACTGAAACATCGTGTGCAGCAGGTGGGTGGGTGTGGATGAATGTGAGTCCCTTGGAGAGTCCCACAGCTGGGTCCCCCAGTCCAGCCGCAGGCACATGCCCCAGCAGCCTGGGTCAGCGTCGTGTGTCTGGACAAAGCCGTACCATCCCCAAGGGGACCACAGGCCTCCACCCCCAGGCACTCCTCCCTGCGGCCCCCACCTGCCCAGGCCTGGGCTGAGCACTCCTGGAAAGGGCGGGGCTTTCCCTCTCTGGGCCCAGCACTCTGCCCTGTGGACCTCCAGCCCCGGCACCGCAGCCACTGCTCTCCTGGTGCAGCTCCCAGGACATCCGGCTGCTCCCCCATTGTGGCCTCCTGACCGCCCACCCACTTGCTTTGTGGGCAGGGGCTTCTTCTCCTGCAGACGGGTGAAGTCCGGGGCTGCCTCTCCCAGCCCCACACTCTGACCCCTCCTCACTCACCCCATCAGTAAAAGTGCACCCCCAGAGTCTGCGGGGAGAGAGGGCCCTGCCTAAGAGCCTGGGGTTGGGCAGGGGGTGGGGCTGTGGCCGCTTTCCCAGCGTAGCTGCCTCCCCTCCCACGCCCTGCTCCACCCCTGACATGCCAGGCTCCATACAGGGGCTGAGTCACTGCTCCCCGGAGCCTCAGGGTCCCCATCCACATAATGGGCACCTCTTCCTGGACCCTCCCCTCTTCCTGGGACTGTCGTTCAGGGAAATGAGATCACCCCCAGACGGGCCATCCTCAGCCCAGGGCTGGTTCTCCCGGTTGTGGCTGGATGTACGGTGGGGGCCTGGTGGGTACGGTGCCTCCCTCCCTCCTGCCGTCCATCCCCACCCTGATTGCTTCCCAGGGAGCTGAGAGATGCCAGCTGCTGCAGGAGCGGAGCCCACGCTCCCAGCCTCCTTTGATTCCGGCATTTGCCTCTGCAGACACGGGCCCTGGACTGCTGCCTGTTGTCCCTGCCATGGAAAGGAATTCACTGTCTTCCCTTTCCCTGGGATCGGGGCCGGAAGGGCCGTTAGCTGCGGCTCGTCTCACCCCTCCTTTACTGTGGCTTCTGAGATCCAGAGAGGGCCTGTGACCTCCCCAAAGTCCTCACACCCCGCTGGCCACGTCATAGACAGTGCTCATGCCCCTGCCCCACCTGCTTCTCCCGGGCCTCCGCTGGTCCCAAGCCTCCACCACGCTGGGCCTCTGGGGGCTCTGGCTGCTTCTGTCCCCTCCCTGCCCCGGCCGCGCCTTCAGTCTCCAGGCACCGGGCGAGAGCATGTGTTTGGAGGGGGCCTGTCAGTGAACCCGGGTGAGGGCATCCCTCCTCCCGTTAACACCTTCCACCCACCCCCACTTCTTGAAGAAAACCAGGAAATCAGACCCGCCTGGCCCAGTGGTTTCCAGATTTACTCAAAGAAAGACTTCCGGGGCTCCTCTCCTGCTGGCTCAGCGCCTGGCCGTGGAGTGACGGGGGCCAGGCTGGAGGGTGTTGGAGCGGCTGGGGCAGGACGGCCCCTCCCCCTTCCCCAGGAGGCAGCTTCCCACCTCCCTGACCTCCAAGCTGCTGGAACCAAGAGGGGACGAACTGCCAGGGAGGGCAGTGCTGCCCCCCGGCACGACCTCCCCTGAACGCCCCATCCTGAGCTCACCATTTGAAGACATATCCCTGGGAGAGGCCCCACCCTCTCTCCCCCACACCTGGGAGAGGCCCCACCCTCTCTCCCACACCTGCCTTCTCTGGAAGCACAGGTCTCAGCTCACATTCCTGGGGTTGAGGCCATGGGAGCATCCGGACCCACAAACCCCTCCTAGGGGTTTCCCGAGACTCACACAGGAGCCTGGGCCCTAATCACCCAGCCTGCCTCCCCGCCTTCCGTCCTCCATCCCCCCCTTCAGGAGGATCCTGATTTCTGCCCTGGCCTGCCTCCCTGCCCCCTCCCCACTTTGTCCCCTCTTAGAGGAGGACACAGCCCACAGGACTGTGCGGGGCAACCGAGCGGATGCTTTAGCCCTGCGTCTCTGGTTCCTGAGACCTTCTTGTCCATTTATGGATGAGAAAATGAGGCTCAGTGAGGGGAAGGCACTGCCCAAGGTCAGGGACCCAATTACAGGCCAAGAAGAGGACACCTAAGACACCCGCCCCTGACACGCTGACCTCAACCTGGGTCTGGCACTGCCTGGACCACCCTCCCAGGGATCACCAGCCCTTGGGAGATAAAAAGCAACCCCCACCCCTCGAGTTCTGCCCAGACCTAGTCTTCACCCTGCTCTAAGATGACCCCTGACCTCCAAGTCAACAACAGTGGGTGTCCACGGACTCCTCCCCCTGCCCCCATTCGCCCCCCCCGCACCGGTTCCCCCCTTCCGCGCTAGGGCCACATCAGTGGCCACAACCAGAGAGCATTCCATGTCTCAGTCAACGAGATTTATTGGTCAGGGAGGGGGGATGGGAAAGGGACTGAAGCTGGGTGCTGGGGCTGCGGAGCCAATGGGAGGCCCCAGAGGGGCTGGCAGGGGGAGCAGAGTCCTCAGATGTTGGACTGTTTGACCTGCTCGCGGGAGGAGATGACCCTGCCATCCTGGACTTCTTCCACAATGGTGCGCACCTGGCGGGTGGTCACAGCTGCAGGAGACAGACACTCAGGGTGGGCGGGGCTCAAGAGGTACCTGGCCTAGCCCCCAGCCCCCTGAGTGGAGCTGGCTTTCTCCCCCATGGCCACTTGGTGTCCACGCCTCTGCTGGCCCCTCAACATCACATCCGCACAGGTGTCCCCCCGACCTTGCCACTCCCTCCCTCTCACCCTGTTCCTTGCTGGTGCCCCTGGGTGAATCCTGCCTCCCAAATAGATGGTTTGATTCTGACCCACATGTCCTTCTGCAAGAAGAAGACTGCACAGACTGGATGCTACACGAACTGGGGTCTGTCTCCATTTCCCTGCAGTCTCAAGGGCCTGGATTACCCTCCCTTCAGAAGCGGATCTCCAAGACAAGACCCTGGTCCACACCCTTAGACTAGATGCCCCAGGGCTGGGATTTTTTCTTCCCCATCAGACTGGGATCTGGAGGACAAGGACCAAGTCCCTTTCTGCTATCAGACAAGAGACTCCAGAACAAGACTGCTTTTGCTCATCTGTAGGGTCCCAAGAGCAAACATCGTGAGACCATGTCCCTACCTCCCCATCAGATGAGAGTCTGCAGAGCTGGGACCATGTCTCCCACCTCAGACTAGGATCTCCAAGGTAAGGGCCATTTCCCTGCCTCTCCCCCATTGGATCAGATAGTGTCCCGCTCACTTGATTAGGACACTGAGCCCTACCGGGTCCCTTCCCCCACCCCTGCCGAGGATCAGCCATCACTTCCTGGAGCTCCTGGACACCCTCCCCCAGCAACGTACAGGTGGGTCGCCTGCCCCATGCAGCCCCACCCGCAGCTACCAAGATGCTTACGTTCTCTGGACTTGTGCGGAGTCAGCCTGCAAAAAACAAGAGAGAAGATTAGATGTGGGTCTCTGCCTCACCTCTGCCCCAGGCCCCCAGCCCTGGCCCCGGGTCCCCTCTCACTGGGCATCCTCGCCCTCCAGCAGGCGGCGGTAGGTGGCGATCTCCTGCTCCAGCCGCGTCTTCACGTCCAGCAGGATCTGGTACTCCTGGCTCTGCTGTCCCATCTCACAGCGCAGCTGGGCCAGTTGCTCCTCCACGCTGCTGACCAGTCCCTGGATCTGGGACAGCTGCAGGCAGTAGCGGTTCTCTGTCTCCGCCAGGCTGTTCTCCAGAGATGCTTTCTGCAGGAGAGCGGGAGGGGCAGGGGTCAGAAGGGTTCTCAGTGCCCCCTCCAGGGACCTGGGCACCTCCCCCACACCCCCCAGGCCTGGCAGCGCCCCTACCATGCTGAGATGGGACTGCAGCTCGATCTCCAGGTTCTGCATGGTGCGCCGGAGCTCTGAGATCTCGCTCTTGCTGCTCTGCACCATCTCGCTGTTGCTGGCCACCTCGCGGTTCAGTTCCTCTGTCTGCAAACAGGACACAGGACAGGGCAGCATGAGCCCAGCTTCCCTTCTCCAAGTCAGGTGACCCCCGTGGCCTCCCTATGCTCAGCCCAGGGCCCACTCTGTGCCCAGACAGGCACCTGGGCTCTCCCCCACTGCCCCAAATACCCCCTCACCATGGCCACCTTCCTGACCTCCCCTGGGCCTCTCAGGCCTCCTCCCAAACCTGACTGTGGGAGCAGTGCCTTCTCACCAGCTTCCCACTTCCCCAAAACCAGAAGCCTTTGAAAGGATGTTAAGTTTTATCTTTAATTCCTGCAAATGTAAAGCACAAGAATAGGAAACTTGAGAACCAGTCAGGACAGTAGCCAGGCCCCTGGTGCTAGTTCCTGACTTCTTGAGGGACAGATGCAAGCTCCTGGGGTCTTGACCCTCTGGCTTTATTCCTGAGGGGGGTTCCCTACCCACCACCAGATCCCAGCTTCAGCCAAGCTCCAGGCCTGTGGATGCAACAGGCGACCCTGACCCCCGGTGTCCATGTGGCTCACCGGGGATAAGGTACCCAAGATGCCAGGCGCTGGGTTTACTGTGGGGACTCAAGCCTTGCACCCCATCCCCTGGGGAAGGCCTCTGGCCTGCGGCAGCCCCCACCTTGCTGAAGAACCAGTCCTCGGCATCCTTGCGGTTCTTCTCCGCCATCTTCTCGTACTGTTCGCGCATCTCATTCAGGATGCGGCTCAGGTCCACGCCGGGGGCGGCATCCATCTCCACGTTGATCTCGCCACCCACCTGGCCTCGCAGGACTTTCATCTCCTGTGGAGGAGGGGATGGTGGGTGTGGGCATGCATCCTGATCCCTCACTCCCAACCCTTCCCACGCAAGTTCTCCAGACCCCTCCCAAGGACACCTCCTTTGTTCTGCCTGCCCTCTACTCTCTGACCCTCTGAATGATTTTTATTCACCTGCTCTATGTGGGCTTTGCCTCCACCATCAGGCTAGGGGTTCCCTGAGGACAGATTCTGTGTTTCCCCCATGAGACTGAGGGCTCTCTGAAGATAAAATCTAATTCTTAAGCCTGAGCCCCCAAAACATCCCGTCTAATTTCCAAACTTCTACCTAGGGGCCAGATTCGAGGGTTTGAGCTGGGACAAGGGGGCAACCTCCTCGATTATCTCCTGTCCTGCTGAGGGAAGGCAGGAGGGGCAGAAGAGGCCTCTGCGGGCCCCTGGGAGGCTCCCCAGATGCGGGGAAGCAAGGTAGTACGTGGAGGAGGCTGCCCTGCATGGGGATCAGGGCTCTGCAGACAGAGCAGCGCTGTAAGGCGACCAGCCTGGACACCTGTGCTCTTCCCACAGTCTCAACCTGGCACAGCCCCAGAGCCCTGCCCCCCACTCAGCATCCTCTTTGACCTACTGCCCCAGCTGCCTCACCTCCTCGTGGTTCTTCCGGAGGTAGACCAGCTCCTCCTTGAGGTTCTCAATCTGCATCTCCAGGTCGGCTCTGGCCAGGGTCAGCTCGTCCAGCACCCTGCGCAAGCCATTGATGTCGGACTCCACGCTCACGCGCAGGGCCTGCTCCGTCTCGAACCTGCAAAGGGAACCAGAGACTTCGTCAAGATGCTTGGACTGGCAGGTGCAGGTTCTGGCCAGCACCCTGCCTCCGAACGATGAGGGGGTGGAGTAGAAGCCCATCGCAGCCCTGGGAGCCTGGGACCACGCAGGGCAAGGCCCCACCCCCACCCTGCTTCCTGGCTTCTCTCCCCTCTTCCTCCCGCCTCCCTTCTCGCTCTTCCATCACCTGACTAGGCCCAGCCACCTTCAGCATCTGCTGCGTTTGCTGCATCCTGGGCTAAGAGGTGCAGGACTCTCAGCAGGGACTCCCCCACCCCCAGCTCCTGGACCTTGCCACCAGCAACTGAGGAGTCCTGGGGTAGGGAGGGGTGCCCCCAGTTCCTCCCCAGCACCCTCTGGCCAGAGCTCACTTGGTACGGAAGTCATCAGCAGCCAGACGGGTGTTGTCGATCTGCAGCAGGACGTTGGCATTGTCTGTGGTGGCCATGAGGATCTGGGAAGATGGGAGAGTAATCAGGTCACTGGGTGGGAGTAGCTCAGCACAGACCAGGGTTCTGAGGCGGGTCTCTCTGTCTGGGGGCCAGGATGCGGCTGCCTCCTCCAGGAAGGCTCCCTTCCCACCCAGCCATTCCCCTTTACTGCATTACAGTTGGTAAGAGAGGCGGGGCCAGCCTGAGTCTGATGGCTGAAACCTTGCCCCCCTCCCCCATGCCAGGCTCTGCCTTAAACCAGAGTGGACAGCCATCCGGGAGTGCCAGGCTGGAAATGCAGGAGAGCAAGAAAAGAATGGGAGGGGGCCCCGGGGCAGAAGCTGTTCCCAAGTCCTGGAAAGAGGACAGATATGGGAAACCTCATTTTACAGCTGGGGATATAGTGTCCCTGAGAGGCTCCCCCAAAAAGGAAGACTAAAGGAACCCTCACCGAAGAGTAGTTCCAAATCAGAAGTCATGACCCCTGCTAAGTCCTGACCCCGGGCTCCAGCAGGCAGCCCCGGCCCCGCCCCAGGTTTGCTGAGCCCCAGTCTTGAGGGCGCAGCAGGAGAGATGGGGAAGCCAGAAAAGTCCCCAAATAAGGCACACAAGTGGCCTCCTGAGGTCCCGCCCCCTCTCTCTCACCTCCTCCTCCTAGCAGGTGCTAGCAGGAGCTCACCCAGACCCCTGACCCCACCGTAGCCCTAAATCCCCCTCTTGCTCCGAGGAAAGAGGTGCCTGAGTACCCAGCGACCCCAGGGACCCAGCCCTCCACACGCATCCATTCATCTCATCCTACAATCACACAAGGTGGCAAAACGCTCCATGATGGGAAACGGAGGCTCCAAGGAGCTCCACAAGGCCTGCTTGTCCCTAGCCCAGGCCGTTGCCCCCAAAAAGAGACCATAGGCCACAAGGTGGCCCCAAATGGGCTCCCAGAAGCCAAGCCGGATCCCAGCTGTCCTTAGCTCCCCAAGACGCTGGGGCAGCCCCCAGGCTGGACTCCAGGCCTTGGTCAAGGGCAGGAGGTAGGGGAGGAAAAGCTGTGCCCCGCCAGGGCCCCTCCCACCGTAGCCCCTACCTTGTTCCTCAGGTCCTCGATGGTCTTGAAGTAGGCGCTGTAGTCGGAAGTCGGCCCTGGGGTCTGCTTCTGGTACCAGTCACGGATCTTCACCTCCAGGTCAGTGTTGGCCTCCTCCAGGGCGCGCACCTTCTCCAGGTAGGAGGCCAGGCGGTCGTTGAGGTTCTGCATGGTGGCCTTCTCGCTGCCCCCCAGCAGCGCATCACCACCTCCAAAGCCACTGCCACCAGTGCCAACGCTGCCGATGCCATAGCCGCCGCTGCCGTAGCCGCCGCTGCCGTAGCCGCCGCTGCCGTAGTCGCCGCTGCCATAGCCGCCTCCAGAGCCGAAGCTGTAGCAGCCAGAGTAGCTGCCGCCCCCAAGGGCATTGCCCAGGCTGCCAGACAGCTGGCGGGAGGTGAGGGACGAGCTGCCCCCCAGGCCAGAGGAGCCCCTGATGGAGTTGGAGGAGGAGAACTGGCGGTTGCTGGTGGTCATGGTGGCGGTAGCGGGTGGCAGGCAGACACGGAGAGAGGGCTCGAGAGGAGAGAGGCCCAAGGCGTGTGTTGCTGCCGGGGCTCGCCCGCCTCCTTTATAGGCCCCAACAAATGGGCGTAACGATTACAGCAAGTTCGCTCCTCTGTTCCCATTCCCCTGGGCTTTCATCACCGCTGGCTGCCCGCCAGCTCCCAGGTGGCTGTGGGTCCCCTTCCCTCCCACCGTCGGGCCTTTGCATCATTTCTCCGAACCCCCGTGCTGGGCGTCTGCTTGTGTGTATGTACGTGTCCCTGGTCTCAGGCCTGTCACCTGTAATTCAGGCAGGCCCTTCAGCTACGCTTTCCCATGACCTAATACGGACAAGAGGAATAAGCAGGACGTGACCGTCACTGAGTCCTCCCAGGCAGCTGCCCCCGGCCACACACCACACCACACACCACGCCACACACGATCCTGGCCCTGGGCGAGGTGCAGGGGAGACAGCGAGGACCAGTACCCCATCCTGCCTTGGAAACTAGACCCAAACCCACCAGCCTCACCACACAGTAGCTCGGTCAGGTCTCAGATTACCACCCCATTCACAGATAAGGAAACTGGGGCTTGTAGAGGCAAAGTGTCCCACCGCCCCACCCAACTCAGAACGGGGCTGGCAGGGCTTCTTCCTTCATCGCACCCTGCCACAGCAGCTATATGCCTCCCAGGGGCCTGTGACACACTGGCCCCCTTCTGCAGAGCCCTGACACCAGGGAAGCACCGCAGGGGCCGTGGTTCCCTCTGTCCAGTTTTCTGACCCTGTCCCCATCCCTGGAACCCCCTGGAGACCCAGCGTCCTTTTCTGACCTTTCCCCATCTCTCTCTCTCACAAGTGGGAAGTCCTGGGCTGGAGTGGGCAAAGGGGAGCTTAGCTGCAGGCTGGGGAAGTGGCAGGCTGAGAGGGGGCATCGTGGTAAAGGCAAGAGGAAGAAGGGTGAGGGGCACGCCCCTTCCACCCTCCTCACCCCTCCTATTCCCCAAGAGGCCTCAGGCAGGGGGCATATACCTTTGGGTCCCAGCTAGCTGGAAAACTAAAGGACACTGCCCAAGAAGAGGGGCTTCCTGAGACCCCGGCCCTGGCCAGTCCCCTCCCCTCCTCCCCCCGTCCCCTCCCCCTCCTCCCTCCTCCCCCTCCCTTCCCCCCTCCCCTCCCCTCCCCTGCAGTCTCCCCCAGGGGCCCCACCCAATCCCCTGACCTGGCCCCTCAGGATGGGCCAGGTGCCCGCCCCACAGCCCCACCCTGCCCTGCCCACCACCCTCAGTTCCAGGGTCCCAGCAGGCCCAGTGGGCGGAATGTGCTCATGTCTCAGACTGCCAATGGCTTCCACTTCCCAGACAGGCCCAGACAGCCCCTGCCAGCAGCCGAGAGAGATTCCCCGAGAGCCCAGCAGCTGCTAAGCCACCAAAGCAAGGAGGACGCCCCCCTACCCATGCTCACATGCAGAGGGGCCACCCCGCCCCACACACCCACAAGCCCAACAGAGCCGGTCTGGCTTCCTGGACTGGCCGTGCCACTGCCATCCCTTGCATGCTTCAGCATCCTGGACCACCTCTGCAGAAAGCCCCCTGCCCAGCCCCTCTCCCTCCGATCTTGACCTTGTACCGCCCCAGGCTGAGACAGGGAGCTGGCCATAACAGGTGTGGCTCCCCGGAAAGTCTATGGGGCCCTCCCAGGGACCAGCCACAGTCAATGGGGACCCAGGGGCTGATTCTCAGGAACTTTCCCAACCTGATGGGCTGTCCCACCCCTCAGCCCTCAAGCCTCCCGTCTCCCTCCTTTGAGCCTCAGGCCTGGATGGGGTGGGCAGAACAGGTTGGCAGGGGTCAAGCAGCCCCAAACCCTCAGCAGACTCTCCTTGTCCCCCCATCCCTCAGCCCACACTGCCCAAGCCAAAGACCAGACCAAACCACAGGAGGCATTGAACTTCAAGCAAAGCTTTAATTGCAGTCACTGGGGCAAACTAAGGAGGTCCCCTTGGTGAGGGGCTGTGGGAAGCAGATAAAGAAAGGCAACCGCTCTTGGGCGGTGGCCCAGATGGGCACTTGGGGCACGGCAGTAGTGTGCTGGGAGCTGCAGGCAATGGCTGCCCCTTGACCCTGGAGGCTGGGCTGTCGCAGGTAGACGGGGCCTCAGTGCGGGGAGCGATGGACCTGCTCGCGGGAGGGGACCACCTTGCCGTCCTGGACTTCCTCTATAATGGTACGCACCTGGCGGGTGGTCACCACGGCTACGGGCGGAGGAGGAGGGAGGCACAGGGAACCTCAGGCTGGAGGCCCTCCCCAAGCCTCCCACAAAGAAGGGTCCTCAGCCTCTCCCCACCCGCCCTAGGCAGGACGGGGCAGGCTCTTACCTTCCCGGGTGGGCTGAGAGACCAGGGACGAGGAGTACTGGGTGGCCAGGCTGCAGGGAAAGGGGGACCTGTCAGCCCAGTGGTGTTGGTTGGGAGCCCAGCCCCCAGGGAGGAGGAGCAGCTGGGGAGGCCCCGGCCGAGGGGAGACAGGTCCCAGCAAATCGGACAGAAATCACAGCAGGGAGTATACGGCAAAGAATGGCAACCACAGGGTCAAAGGGCACAGGCCCAGTGGGCAGAAGTGAGGAAAGGGGAAGGCCCAGAGGCACTTTGCGGCCAACCAGGGATTTACAAGGAGAAGCTGAGCAAGTGGTTTCTCCATATCCTGAAGGGCCCAACAAATAAACTTAATTAAAGCAGGAGAGACTGTGGCTAGACTATAGATAGACTTAGCCATCGTCATAGAGCAAAAAGCTGGAATGTGTGACTAAGCATGGAGACTTCAGAACATCCTCGGCCCCTTTACACTAGGGCCCCATCACCCACCCAACTCCAAACCAGATCGCCACCCATCCCAGACAATGGGATCACCAACCACGCAATCACTGGAACCAGAAAGCCAGGATCATTATTAACCGCTTCATGTGCTAACGCAAACGTTCGTTGAGTCCCGCCTGCAAGCCACGCTCGCCCCCGCGTTCAGGCATCCAGTCCTGCTGTTTTTAGCTGTAACACATCCTCTTGACGCAACACCTCCCCTTCCCTGCCCTTCGCCCGCCTTATGGCAGGTCTTCTCTAGCCTGACGACCTTGCTCCAGCCTCCTGACTGGTCTCCCTGACCCCACCCTCGCCCCTAGGATGCATTTCTCCCTCTGCAGCCAGAGTGAATGTTCTAAGATGTCTTGATGACCATACTTCTCTCTGCGCAAAAGCCCCCGTGGCTCCCCACTGCCTACTCCATCAAGTGGGACCCCAGCCAGTGTTCTCAGCTTCACCTCCTGCGAACCTCCACACCTCCTCCTGCCTCGGCGGGTGCTGGCCCTCCCTGGGTGAAGCCACCCAGACCACCGAGCAGGTGCAGGGCGCCCTCCACTCACTGGGCGTCCTGGCCCTCCAGCAGGCGGCGGTAGGTGGCGATCTCCTGCTCCAGCCGCGTCTTCACGTCCAGCAGCATCTTGTACTCCTTGTTCTGCTGCTCCATCTCGCAGCGGAGCTCACTCAGCTGGGCCTCGATGCTGCTGCTAAGCCCCTGCAGCTGGGCCAGCTGGGCCCCGTAGCGCGCCTCGGTCTCTGCCAGGCTGCCCTCCAGCGACGCTTTCTGTGGGTCAAGGTGGAGGTGGCTGGGGAGACCGAGCCCCCAGAAGGGGGCCCCACGTGTGTGGGTTTGTGGGTGGGGCAGTAAGTGGGGCAGAGTGTGCAGTGGCAGGCGGGGCAGGCAGTCTCTGGTTCTCCGAGTGGGGGTCCAGGAGGCGGGGCCCACTCGGAGTGACGGGTACAGGACAAGGAGGGGACAGAGGCCCTACCACGCCGAGCTGGGACTGCAGCTCGATCTCCAGGTTCTGCACGGTGGGGCGTGGCTCCGTGATCTCTGCCCAGCTCCTCGGCAGGACCTCGGTGTTGGTGGCCACCTCGCGGTTCAGCTCCTCCATCTGGAAGGCAGGACGGGCCCTAGGGGCTTGCGGAGGCTTGCAGAGGTGGGGCAGGGGCCTGACCTCCTAGACCTGCCGCTCCCCAGCCTCTACAGGGCCCCAAGCCCGCCTGCACATCCTGGAACTTGTAGCATTCACCTTGCTCTGGGGTCGTTTGTCTCCTTACTGGACTGCAGGTACCACTCTAGGGCAGGCCCTGGGTTTTACTCTTTTTGTGCCTGTCACTGTCCGGCACTGCAGCTGCTCCGTGCATGCTTCCTGGGGGCACGAGAGTCTGCATCCAAACACACACCTACCTACAAATGCCCGGGCTGGGAGAACCCTAGTGGGATCAGGAGACCTGGATCTGCTCCCCAGGCCACGGTGAGGGGTTGTGTGAGCATAAGGCCTCTCTGAGCCTCACGATGTCCCCCTGAACGTGAGGGGTTGGTCCCCTGGTTTCCAAAGGTGCTTCCAGCTGGGAATCCACAGCCTGTGGATCTGTAAGTTTTCCGACATGTGCTCAGCACACGGCGTGTGCACGCACACGTGTGCACACCTGCTCACGCAGGCCACCCACCTTGCTGAAGAGCCAGTCCTCGGCGTCCGCGCGGTTCTTCGTGATCTTCTCGTATTGGTCGCGCATCTCATTCAGGATGCGGCCCAGGTCCACAGCGGGGGCGGCGTCCATCTCCACGTTGATCTCACCACCCACCTGGCCTCGCAGGGCATTCACTTCCTGGGCAGACAGCTAAGCAGGAGCTCACTCAGGGCCATCCTGGGAAGAGTCCCTGGGGCTGCCTTCTCTGTCTGGGGGAGATGGGTGCAGAGGACAGACAGACACAGACAGGCCAACAGCTCCTCACCCTGAAGGTGGAGGTGGATGTCATCACGTCTCAAACATGCAGGGCTGTGGATATCAACAATCTCCCCCAACACACACTCGCGGGGTGGGCTTTGCCCAGTCCCGGTGTGTGCTGGGCCAGGAGAGATGGCAACTCCCAGTCATGGTGGGGGATGAGCCAGGACAACCTCACTCCAGCCCTGACCACCCACCTCACCCCCCGTCACCAACCACGCAGCACGGGCATGGGGAAAGCAGCACCC